GTTGTCGAAAATGTTTAATGGGATATAAATTTAATTTGTAAGTCCCTTTCTCTAGAAATGCATAAAAACATATACAAATTTTTAAAGAGAATGTAATCTTCAATGCATATAAGCGTCGTTAATGGTGTTCAGCTTGTTGAAGCCGTGTGGTAATCGTAAGAGAGGAGAGTGTGCTGGATTATTTACGTAGCTCAGGCCGTGCGAGCATCAGAGAGGATATTATAGTTTGAGCGAAGCGCCGAAGCTTGTTGCACGCTTCTGGACTTCTACGTCCGACACCTAGATACAAGAAACTACTGAGCGGAACACCTGGACACCCTCAACTTCCACATCCGACACCTAGATACAGAAAACTACGGAACGGAATACCTGGACACCCTGAACTTCCACATCCAACACCTGGACACAGGAAACTACGGAGCGGAATACCCGGACAACCTGGACTTTCACATACAACAACTAGATACAAGCAACTACGGAGCAGAACACCTGGACACCCTCAACTTCCACATCCGACACCTAGATACAGAAAACTACGGAACGGAATACCTGGACACCCTGAACTTCCACATCCAACACCTGGACACAGGAAACTACGGAGCGGAATACCCGGACAACCTGGACTTTCACATACAACAACTAGATACAAGCAACTACGGAGCAGAACACCTGGACACCCTCAACTTCCACATCCGACACCTAGATACAGAAAACTACGGAACGGAATACCTGGACACCCTGAACTTCCACATCCAACACCTGGACACAGGAAACTACGGAGCGGAATACCCGGACAACCTGGACTTTCACATACAACAACTAGATACAAGCAACTACGGAGCAGAACACCTGGACACCCTCAACTTCCACATCCGACACCTAGATACAGAAAACTACGGAACGGAATACCTGGACACCCTGAACTTCCACATCCAACACCTGGACACAGGAAACTACGGAGCGGAATACCCGGACAACCTGGACTTTCACATACAACAACTAGATACAAGCAACTACGGAGCAGAACACCTGGACACCCTCAACTTCCACATCCGACACCTAGATGCAGAAAACTACGAAGCGGAATACCTGGAAACTCTGAACTTCCACATCCAACACCTGGACACAGGAAACTACGGAGCGGAACACCTGAACACCCTGAACTTCCACGTCTGACGCCTAGATGCAGGAAACTACGAAGCGGAACACCTGGACACCCTGAACTTCCACGTCTGACACCTAGATACAAGAAACTACGGAGCGGAACACCTGGACACCCTGGACTTCCACGTCCGCCACCTAGATACAGGAAACTACGGAGAGGAACACCTGGGCATCCTGTATCTCTAAAAACTGTCACCTAAAGTACGAGGAACTATGCCGAAGCACACATATACATACACCCATATACGCGCGCTCCACACGAATACTATTAAAAACTTAATAATTCTATACTGTTGTGAAAGCACCTTTATACTATCTGGAAATTCGGTATGAACGGTAGCTTCACGTATAAAGTGTATTTGATTGTGTTGTGTGTTCGTAAATTACCAACACCATACAGAGTACAAATAGGTAAAGATCGCACAACAGTCAGCGCCATCTGTCGTGTACAAAATGCAATGGACGTGCGAAGACGACGACGACGACGACGACGACGACGCCGGATCTGAAATAAAATCATATCGCTCGCCATGTGAATACGTCCTGATCCTGTACACTAACCGTATTGAATTTGGTGGCAATCAATTCAGAACCCTTGATTCCTAGAGTGAATGTATCAATAAATTTGTCTCACATACAGCCGTTCATAAGATATTTGAGTCGAAACACAGGTACAAAAGATGCTTCGAGTAAAGAGTCTCGGCGGGCCGTGCCCCGGACGGCGGGTTGCCTGTACTTGGCGCTACACTCGACCGAGTCTCTTGATCCGTTAGTCTGTCCTTAGGAGCGATCATGTAACGTGGTATAATACCTTTGCCCATACCATTGTTTTGTAATAACATTTTTAAATTTGAAACTCTTGCTCCTACGAATATCACCATCAGGTTCATAGTACTTTTTATATGCATTCGTTCTTATGATAATGTTTTTGTAATTGTTCAAGTCATCCTGGGTTACATGAGCTTCGTTAGGTATCTTCCTGAATACGAGTTCAATCAAACCGTTAGTTTTCGGATAACTGGTATCGCCTATATGGATTTGATCACCCTCAAAACTTATAGGTGAATCTCCAACCACCAACTTCTTCTTGGAAAGTTTACGCACACCATAGACAGTACTCAATTGTTTATTCTGCCTTGGTAGCAGCATATTAAGATACCGTTGCATCGAATCATTTCGATTAACGGGTAAATCCTCATCATTCTTGTGTCCATCATCACCATCATCATCATCATCATCATCATCATCATCATTATCGTCATCTTGAATATCACTGATTTCCCCGATAGTGGAATCATTTTTGAGCGTATTAAAGGATTCATTCGTTGTTTCAAACGTATCATTCATTCCTACATTATCTTTTATTTCATCTTTGATTTCATCTCTAATCTTATCTTTTATAGTATTATGCTCTGTTTGAGATACGTTCACTAGTTTCTGCAGTAGAGTCACTACCGGTTTGAACACTTCACTCATCGCATGCTCGACATTCTCTTTACCCAATTTTATCATTCGATGCTTTCTGCGAATCGAATCGCTAGCTTCAGCGATTTGACGCAAGATGTCTTTCTGCTCTTCAAGTTTTTCACGATGCATGTTGCAATCACTGAATCCAAAATGCTACTGTATCCATTTTTTCGATAATCACTCTTTTATGCTCACGAAGCAATCGAATCTTTTTCTATATCGACCCTCGTTGAGTTCGCTATCCTTGTCTATTACGAGAAACCCACATTTGCTCTCGTTCCAGCATGCCGAACATAGGTCTCTGAACTGCACGTACATCATATCAGTGTTTACATGGTTATCGTAAACGTCCTTGAGATTCATTTCATTCAGCTTAAAGAGCATAAGCAAATTAGCATTGTCGCGTACGAGATGTTTGAGAATACGAATGTAGGTCTGACAATCAACATCTCTGTGTCGCCCCGTACTGAAGAAGGCTCTCATGTTATCTTCTTTCTCTCAAGCTATATCATCATAAATAATTATTGAATTGCGACGTGCCTCGTTTGTTGGCAGCACTTGTTCGTGTTCCGTAAATGGAAAAGATTCAACACCATCCACGGAATCGAGTAAAC